AGCCCGCCGGCTCCAAAAACGAACGGGAGGAAATGCTCTCGATTTTTAATTCTAATTTAATCATCATCTTCACCACGATCATTTATGTTTATGTTCACCAAATTTACATGAAAGCACTGACAAATATGAATACTGTAGTCAACTTCATTAAAACGTTATTAACGTGCCTAAACTCAGTAATTCACTAAAAATATTTATATTTTAATGGAGCCTCGTCAGGCAGATCAGGGTCCCGACGCGTAGCGGAGGGATCTTGAGTTTCCTCATTACAGAGCTCAATAATTATTGTGTGGCAACGCATTACTAATTCGTGGGAAATTAATAACTAATTAGTGGCCACGCATTATTAATACGTGGCCACGTATTAATATCTTTCTCACCAATGTCACCAGGGGGGCTCCGTATGTATTGAATAATTTAAAGGATATATGTGTACACATCATTAGTCAAAACAGGGCTACATTTGACTGAATTATAAAAGGTATATGTGGTAAAATGAAGAGCCGTTTGGGAGCCGAAAGAGCCAGCTCTTCTTGGTGAGCCGAGCCAAATGATCCGGCTGATAACAAAACGACCGCTCTACCTCCTGAGCCATGGCGAACCTTATCTATAATGTTTGTGCTTGTCAAGAAAGGGAAAAATATTTGATTATAATCTAATCTGTGGTTATCATTTACATAGAGTCTCATGGATATGATCTACTGACTATGACTGAATATGAAAACACAACAAATAAGAAGAGGGCAAGTCGGGCTGATTGAGGAATGTTTTCAAATGTTATTCATTAACCTGTTGAACCTTAACTCTCATATTTGTGTGTTTTAGAGTTGGTGGATAATTTACCACAATCACGCATACATGTGGTTTCTGTGTAATTTGTATCCCATAGATGACTAAAGAAAAGTTAATTAGAGATCAAAACTGTCTGGCTTGAAGTTGCAAAACCTTTATAAACAATAGAATGTGTTTATTTAGATCAATCTATCCTAGGATGTCCATGTAGGCATTACTTATGTAGACTGCAGGAACAAAGCCTTGATCCTAGTTCATATATACATGCCCCTCCCAAACCTGACCTTTCCCAAGCTATATGACTGCTGGGTTAATGTTTAAACATGTGCCGGTGTGCACAGGTCTTCACTTGTAGAAACTCACAATTTACAATGATGTCACGACTGACACCAGGGATGATACAATTAGATTAAATGTTCTACAAAAATATTTATTTAGTTCATAGCATTGAACTCCAGTTTTGCTGTAGTTAATGTCTTTAGCTTTTTTTGTTTGATTTTAATTTCCATTCTGTTTCTATTTAGCTCACATTTTTAAAATGAACATCAGCACTGCTGTTCAAGGTCCAAACTGTGTTATAATTGACCCACTGGGGATGGATAACTAAACTCTGAATTTTCTTTAAAAAAAGGTTCTCCTTTTACTGGGTAAAAACTTTACTTAAATAATTCTTATTAATGACAATATCACATTGTCAAATTAAACTTCTTTCTGGCATCCTGTCTCACAGTATGATATGCAAATGAGTGCAGTATTTTACTACTACAAAGAGGGATCATGTAAGTTGGAGGAATAAAAGGAGATAAGAATGTGGGTGAAAAATAGGAGATAATTATGACCCTACTGCTCACATTTGTACATATTTATTAAGTAAAGCGTCCTACTGGCTCTTGATCATGCCTTCATTAACACAGTCGATAAGGTGTGGGACTGCTTGTCTACTAAGTGCCTGCAATCATTTCAATTTAATCCCATGGAAAAGAGAATATGAAAAGCAGCATTCCGTGGCATGGAATGAGCAGGGTTTAACAACAGGTTTGTGAAGCCAGTGCCTTTTAGTAGCTGGGGCTGGGCAGAGTCACTGTTGTGATTTAGGAGGATCAGTTTGTGGTTGTCAGTAAGCTTGCCAGGGTTATATCTCTCACAGGCTACGCCCTCTACTGGACTCTATGGGTAGGCCTACTCCCCTCGATCCTATCTATGCACGCATTCTTTCACTGAGGTTGCGTTGGAATAGTTTAAAAATCAGCTCCTAAGTTCTAACCTTATCTCCTATTCCTTGACCTCTGAGTGAAACGTCACGGGGTTAAGGGATAGTGGATAGGAGAATTCAAAAGGATTTAGGAGAAGAGACTGCGGTACTTTAGAAAATCCGACTGCACTTTCACTATCCGACGCGCCAGCGGACGTCATAAATGTGCGTCAGCTGCTGTGGGGAAACTGGAAACTACAGTTTTCTATACAGCGGACTACAACATGGATGTATAATAAGAACGACGGACTCATCTAGAGACTACACCGTGCTCTGATGCTGTTGCTTTATGCTTTATGAACAACAGAGAAACATATTCTTCATGACCAAAGTTGGAATTGAATTATATTTCTCTTTTTGATTATAATACTGATGAACGTTCAAAACCAAGCACTTTGGCTACTTACCACATACGTTTTAAAATGCTTAATAAGCACCGTAACTTTCATGATATAATTTCTCCGTCATAATCGTTTGTGTCCGTGAACGGCCGACTGTTGTTTGACGTCAAATGCTGCGGCTGCAAGGCATTGTGGGGCAGCATTTTCTCCTCTCCTTTCGGTTAGGGAGGTCCAGTGGTTCCTAAGCTAAAGGAGGTTATAAAGGAAGTTTGAAACCTCCTTTCCTATCATCTAGAGAATTCGAACGGCACTTATTATGGCTGCCACTGAGGGACTTCAGGGTCATTTCACTCGGTTAGGAAGATTCCTAAACTAAATGGAGTATTCAACCGCAACCTGAGACTCATACCCGTAGCCGGCCCCCTGGGCGGGCCTACCTGAATGGGCACGCATCCACTGCATAAGAGGCCTCGCCCGCTCACTACTATCCCTTTCTCTTTCAGCTAAGCAGCTATTGAGTAACTGAGCGAGAGATAAACAGGATAGAAAGAACAAGAAACTGTTTTTTCTCTCCCTGGCTATGGCCGAGGGAGAGGTGAGGGAGGCGCAGCGGCTGCTAAACAGAAAGCCGGTCTGAAACAGGGGGATGGAGCGGTATTCTCGCGGGACAGCAGAGCGGGGTTGCGTTCGAATAGTCCAGCACAGTGCAGTCTCTAGATGAGTCCCTCATTCTTAATAAACATCCATGTTGTAGTCAGTTGTATAGAAAACTGTAGTTTCCATAGTTTCCCCACAGCAGCAGACGCACACAATGACCTCCGCTGGCGCATCATAAACACGTCGGATAGTGAAAGTGCATTCGGATTCTCTAAAGTACTGCAGTCTCTTCTCCTAAGTCCTTTTGAATTCTCCTATCCACTATCCCTTAACCCCGTGACGTTTCACTGAGAGGTCAAGGAATAGGAGATAGGGTTAGAACTTAGGAGCTGATTTTTAAACTATCCGAACGCAACCCCGGTATACGTCGGGCTCCGCCCCCTGTACCCATAGAGTCCAGTAGAGGGCGGAGCCTGTGAGAGATATAACGTAGGGTTACGTATGGTAACCCATGTTATATAAGCACAGCGGAGCCCTCTACTTATGGAGCACTGCTGCCTATGCTACTCAGCTAAAAGAGAAAGCCAGGGGGCCGGCTACGGGTATGAGTCTCTGTGAAAGAATGCATGCATAGATAGGATCGAGGGGAGTACCCATAGAGTCCAGTAGAGGGCTCTGCTGTGCTTATATAACATGGGTTACCATCGTCTATGGTTACCATACGTAACCCTACGTTATAGTTAAAGGGTGTTGTGTGTTGGAATGTGAGGTGATATATTTAACTTTGCATGCAACATGCGTTAGTACTGTTTGATCATTTCTAATTTGTGTCTGAAAAACTACAAAGGCAACATCAGGCACCGACCTTTTACACTGAGGTAGCAGAAAATGGTACTCCACATCTGACTACATTGGTTTAAAATATGTTGCTAAAGGCAGGAGCCTCTTAAGCCCCAAGATTTAGTATTTGATATTCAATGGTAATTTGGCTTTTGGTCCTTCCAAACTGATGGAAAAGGGAAGAGGGCAAATGAAAGTGACAGGAACCAAGTCAAATGAATCAAGTCATTGATAATTGCATGAATGTAGGCTTTGATTGGCAGGACAGTGAATTGGTGCTTTGTTGAAAAGAGAAAGAGAGATGAAAGACTTTGGGTTAGGGAGGGAAGGAGACAGAGATGGACGGATGGGGTCGTAATGCTCCATGTAAATGTATTGTGTGCTGCATTTCGTGGAAATTGCTTCCGCACATGCAAACACAGACACTTTCAAACATACACAATGTTGTACACATTCTCTACCATCCGTTTCATTTTGTTCTGAGGAAAATAGATCAACTCTTGTTTTCCCCTTTGTTCCCTTTCTGCATCATGTAACTGTTAGACTCCTCATTTAGCCTTCTGCAGTATCTCTAGGACCAATTATACATACTGTACATCCTCTGCCCTCGCTATGTCCCTCAAGTATCACCAGTGAAAGATCAACATTAAGTGAAATACAGTAACTAGTTAGCCCAACAGTATTTCAATATTGTATTAAAAACACATTACCCTCAGACAGCTAGTAAAATGGCTAGCTAAGGAAATACTAAACTAATCTCAGAAAAAATAGATTTAAGGTCTGGCTCGAAGTGTCTCCTGAAAATAACACCAGTCTTAATGCCAATGGCCCCTTACACTCTTTCTCCCACACCATCCTCTGAACGCACCTATCTTCAAACTCTCCCATGGTTTTGATCTCAACTACACACCAGTAAAGTGTCATTACTGTGTCTTGCACAGTTTTGACACATCTTGAAGCAACAGTTCTGCGTGTAGATTTCTTCAGATAGACATATAAACACCTAGTTCTCCTCCGTAGTGGTTCACGCTTCAGTAGGTGTTTGCAGGAGCACATTTTGCAATGAAGCCAGCCACACAATAATGTGTGAATAGCGTCTAGGGGATTTCAATTGGTGTTCACACATTGTGATGGTGAACTAAACCATCTTATCATTATTGTCTTTTTTGCTTTCTTAGATTCTCTGGAGTTCCACCCAGTAACCTCGGCAATAACACCAAGCTTGTTGATTGGATGCCTCAGAATGACCTATTAGGTAAGTACACCTCAAGGACAAACACCACTTACTGTAATGTGTAGTCCACCCACCATGTGTATATTATCAACAGACAATTTGACTTACTGAATGTATGGTATTGCACAAGGTAAACTGAAATGAATTGCTTCAAGGTGTTTCTTAACACACATCTGATGCTTGGTATTTTATACAACATGCTTTAACTCATGGTGTTGTGTACTGTTTTTTATGGTTGGGTTCCTCCCTTACCTACTTATGAACCATTGTGGATGGTATAATATGAATGTGTAAGCCACAATTGCTATCTTTGTGCAAGTCAGGGATGCACAACAATCAGATATTGACAGTAAGCATTATATTCTGAATTGGTGCTATAAAACTGTGGAGCACTGTGGTGAATTGGTGCAATAAAACTGTGGTTAGCCAAGCCTTCAAAATACACCAGTCTGTCTATATCTCAATTTAGGTGCTAAATTACCTTAAACCATGCAAGTAAACATAAAGGGCCTAGATTAAGACGGAAAATAAGTTGGGCCGTGTTTATGGTGACGTTTTTATTAAAGAATGAAGGGCATTTACTTTGAAATGTATTTATAAAAACTATGAACAATATTTTATTAAACATACTGTTAGAAAATAAACACTCATACACACACATACAGTCTGTACTCCTCTAACTGTAAACCATCCTACTCCGACCTCCGTGTGCAGAGCAACAGTGAAGTACTGCAGAGTGTGCAGACATTTTTGGGCTTTACTCTTTAAACTGTAAATAACCCAGCAAAATGTGCACCAAAAAACTTAACTTAACACCGAACATGCAAATGAACATCCTTCATCCCTCCTGTCGTCCAGGACATGCCAACACAAAGGCCTTCCTGAGTCACGGTGGTCTGAACAGCATCTACGAGGCCATGTATCACGGGGTGCCGGTGGTAGGTGTGCCCCTGTTTGGAGACCACTATGACACCATGACTCGTGTGGCAGCCAAAGGTATGGGTATCATGCTACACTGGAAGTACATGACAGAGGAAGACCTTTATACAGCCCTGAACAGCGTCATCAAAGACAACAGGTTAGATTCCAAAGTCTTGTATGCACTGTCACACACAAATGCTTTGTATATGAGTATTATGGTTCATTAGTGCCATCTGTTGACCAGATATAGAGCCCTTTAGCTTGCTGAATGATTTCAGATAAAGGTTGTTTCCACATTTCTTCCTACCTAGGTACCGCCAGCAAGCACAAACTCTTTCCAACATTCACAAAGACCAGCCAGGCCATCCAGTGACCAGGGCCGTCTACTGGATCAGCTACATCCTGCGTCACAACGGTGCCGACCACCTTCGCTCCGCTGTGTACGACGTGTCCCCCTACCAGTACTTCCTGCTGGATGTGATTTTCACTGTCGGAGCGGCCCTGGCTCTGTTTGTCTTTGTACTGCGACGGTTGGTACGAATGCTGAGGGGGAAGACCGATGACAAGAGAAGAGGAGATGGCGTCTCCAACGATGACGGTAACATGGCCAACGGACATTGTCATAGCGAGAGCCTGGCCAATGGGAAGCACAAACGCAACGGCTCCTTGAAAAACGAGAAGAAGATTAACTAATGTTTCAAATGGCCAAGAAGGACGAGGAGGAAGTTGCCCCAAGGACTCAGCTCTAGGTTTTGTTAAGTGATTTTATAAAAGCTTTGAAGGAAAGAGTTTCTTAGTTCTGTGTCGAATGGCAACTGCTACTCAAAGCGTGAAAGAGGCTGTAGGAGGATACACAATGAATCGTGTGTGGCATCGGGTGCTCAAAATCTGTGTTTGTGTGTTTGTATGTGTATGTGTGCACTGAGGCAAATTTAACAAAAACTCTTAACAAAAGCAGCTACAGCAAAACAACACCAAATAGGAAAGTGATTAAGAATGAAACACAGGAAAGACACATTAGCAGGAAATTGTCTCTCCTACATGATCTCTGTTGTCTTCCTGCCTTCCTTACCAGTGAAAGGATGATGAAGAGGAGAAATCCTGAGCGCCAACAACTCATCCTTAGAAAACAAATAGATAACTTTTGAAATAGTTAGATTTAATGTCTTTAACTGCAAACTCTGCTTCTTCAAATGTCTGGTGAACTGTAAATAGAGAAAACATCTATTTATTACTGTAAAAAAGCTTTTTAATGAAGGACCTTTTTAACCTCTTATTCTTGTTTTTAATGTATTACATGTATCAATGGTGTTAGAGCATTATGTTAATTGTACACTCCCTCTTTACAACATTGTGTGCGTCCTAAAAGTGGAACATACAAAACAAAGACTGAGAGCTGCAATCATTATACGTTTGCACAGGTCTTTGCTTTGTACAGTTGCATTATCCACAGAATTCACGGTCGTCTTATTTTCAGATTTATCAGTGTTGAAAACATTCAAATTGTTTCCCTTTTGACATGTTAGGGCCATCCCGTGACTTTACTGTTTGTTCTTGTAAATAATATCTCAACTGTATTTGGCTTAACAATGTGAAAAGGAATATCATGTTACCATTAAAACATATAATACAATAAAGGCTACTACCAATGATACTGTGGAAAGGCAGAGACTGCTCTAGATGTGCTTAAGTCATGTGATCAGGGATGAGTCAGAGCATTATTGATTTATGACTACTCGCTCCGTGAGTCCACTATCTTTATTCTGAATCCCTCATCCATTATAAGTGATTAGTGAGAATTCATCACTTGTTGGCCATTTTTAGTGCTACACTTGATTTTGTACATCATTCCTATATGATTGGATTGAATGTTAATTTCTAACAAAGCTTGTTTCAAATTACACAGTTCAGGTAGAAATCCATTCAAGACTTCTGCAAATTAAATTCTATTAGATTTATTAATTGAGTTTTTAAAAAAAAACTAAAATAACTAGGTAGGCCTTATGTAATTATATTAAAATTGAATGTGAATGATTCACATTCTATTTGTGGCCTTTTGTAATGCAAATATTTCTTTATGCAGCATGATGGAATATATTTGTACCGGTAGTTGTGCTTGTTACTATTAAATTATTGTGGGTTAGATCACTTAGACTGAGTGTATGGATGAACCAAGGAACGTTAGGTATGTTTTAGCCCACTAAGAGATGTTAAAACAAACATTGGCTTTTCAGCCATTCTGTGAAGTCATCAAATTAGGTGTACATCCATGCACTTGATTCTTTATTTCATTCAATAAGACCAAAGTTGCACCCTGTAGCTTTTTTTGATCTTATGTGTCAATCCACTCCAAGTTTGCTCTGGTTTCTAGGCTGTCTGTTAATTCTTAATGCAGATGGAGGAAGGGTGTAAGGAGGGACTTAGTTCCTTACTACTTCTACAATGAGTAATACCATGTCAAAGTGACACTGATCCTTGCAAAGAAATTATCTTTACTTGAACCCCTGTCGATGAGATCAAAGTACAGGGCGAGCAGAATAGTATTTTTAGAGTTAGTCCGGATTTGGTATTGTGCTAATGGGCATTTCAGGAGGGAATGTCTTCCCAGACTTGCAGATGGATGGTTTATCACACCACCTGGTCTAAATAAATGCATTTATTTTCCTCCATTGTTCAAGCATCACAGCACAGACATCTATATTTGGATTTGGAAAATTGGCATTCAGATATTGTTTAGCAACTTACTCAAGCATGGACAATACAGCAGTGTTTTTACAGGAAACGAAAGAAAATGCTATCACTTAAATGTCAAAAATGGTTGTTGGCTGCTAATTCAAACCACATGTGTATTCACATATCCTGTATGATAATAAATAAAAGTTAATTATGTTCCTTTCTCTGTGAGCGACGACTGCACTTGCACAGCCCAACCCTGCCCTGCTGAAAACAAGCCATTATACTTGAATCATTGTCATTATAATCATCTTCTATAAAAGTTCAACTGATGGGTTAGCAAGGTGGGCCTGCAAGTGCTACACAAGCTATGAACAGGGTCTGGAGAGAGAAAAACACAAATTGTGAATATAAATAATTTTTCATTATTTTCAGTATAAATGTTAAAGCTCTGGTTAAATGTCCACCCATGCCCATTCTTTACTCGTCTGTTCCCTGCAGTCCGACATGTCTCTGTTCTTGTGGCGTTTGCATTTCATCAGCTTGAATTTCTCTTTGTTCTGTCTTCAATAGTGCACTGCCTGTTCCATTTGTCCACTTCTTTGTCCTACTTTTTCACTTCCTGGTGTCATTGTATTCTTGTGTCATTCCTCCTCTCACGCCTTAAATATCAAAAGTCTGCTTATTTTTTAAAAACCTTTTCACTTTGATTTTCAAATGACAAAGTCCTCAATTTCCCTGTCATGTGTGTCCATGTTGTAAATAGAACAGTGTAAACAAAATACTAATGCTGAATAAAAATTACATATTTTGTTTGCAGAGATGATTGATACTTCTTTTCCTCAAAAAAGTGGCCATGGCATTTCAGTTGTCCTTAGTTTTGAGAAAATAAAGTTAAAGAACACTGATGAAATAGTAAATGAAAAGCAGGGAAAAAGTTGTACTGTAGTTTCTGATGTATGGTCGATCAATATTTTGCTTCTCCTATTTGCTGTTGCATGTTATCAGTACGCAATATTGAACAGACAAGGGCATACAGTGCATACTTTTGAGTCCTGACAAGGCAGATGGTGAAGCATTTGATGCTGACAGTCTCAGTTTGATAGGGGATGTATAGGCTTTCTGTCGGGAATTGTTACCAGGCAGCAAAGAGGTTTTGTAGGTATCAGATGGTAGAATCATCTAAAGTAGCCAACTGCACAGACGCATGCACACAAGACGGGTGGATAGATTGGGTTATCTAATGCTGTATGCTCGTGCTGAGTGAGGCTAGGGTAACAAAACACCCCGCCTGGTACCCTGCCTCGCTCACCGGCCCTGTTAATTATTCACACCGCCTGCAGGGGCCTGCTGTCCTCACACACACACACACACACATAGTCAGAAGCATCTGCAGGTATGTTTAATTTACGTTCCTGAAGTTGTTTTCTTTTGTTGTTGCTGGTGGCCAAATCAGGCACCGTTCTGTTAACTGAGACAGGAAGGGGGGAAGGAATAGACGACAGGCCTCTGCTGATGAGGAATCTGATATCACAGAAAGCACAGCGGGCATCATTCATGACATCCTCCATTCATTCTCAGCCATCCCTCCCTCCTCAGACCTTGTAAGTGCCTATTATCTACCTTTCCTCTCCACCTCAGCAGACAATCATCTGGAGCAATTAACCACTTTGTGTTGGACTAAGTGGGCTTACTTCATGGACTAAAAGTCCTGCCTCTCTGCACAAGATCTAAGTGATGGATTTGTCAAATGTTTGACAACAGGGTTTGATCTATGGACTAACTGACATCCACACTCTTTAATGTATGGGTTAGGCTAAAAGGATATAGTGGGGATTGCATGTGTGGACGTAACCACGTTGTTGACCAAGCTTGTGCTTGGTAGTGTGTGTGAGCAATGCCCAAGGGTGTGTACCAGTTTTGAAATGGTTGACTTTGCTTGTATAAACATAAATGAGCGATGACCTTCCATTCATCTCTGTCACAGCAAATATATAAGAGCTCTACCTATGGAGAGAGGGATATCATATTTCTTTGCAACATGTTTGTGAGGATTGAAAGACTTTCCTAAGATAAGACTTTATTCATCCCAAAGGAAATTGTTGTGCCAGAGTTACAAAAATACAATAAACACAGCAGCATAATAGTAAAACTGTACACTAACAGTGCAGTGAAAAGAGCAATCAACCACATCAACTCCAAAGCTAAACTGACCTTGACCTTATATGTAGTGGAATGAGAGAGAGATCAATTAGTTCAATGGAAGTCCTGTTAAGCTAGTGAGATCATTGCATTGTGGAAAATAATCAAATGTATCTCGAGTGAGATTGTCCTGATGCGTTGTTTGATTGTCTTGTAAAACGAGGTGAAAAAACAGCCCTATTCCCTTGGACAAAAATAGTCTAAATTATAATTATGTGGGGATTTGGCTTGTCCTTTAACAGCAGAGCAAGGTGCTTCAGTGAGTGCAGTATGTAGGCTATTTTGCTCTTAAAGCCAACAATATATGCTTTTTCTCCGGAAGCCCTGAACTTGGTGCTGTTGTGTTACCTTACATATTAGGATCTTAGTAACTATTACCATGCCATGTGTTTATGAGAGTAAGCACATAGAAGTGAAGACAGAATGATATTGCAGGTTACCCATATATCCAGTAGAGGGTAGTAGTAATCCATAATGAATGGCTCTGGTCAACCCATGCTTCTCTCGTTTTGTTTATCTCGATCCATGATACCAAGGGGGTCCTCAGATTCATTGCTGGGGGAACTATAAACAAATGTTAGTTATTTTTTTTGTTTTCTAAATGTAATAGGAAAATCATGGATTAAAGTAAAATGGCGAAACAAATTATAAATAAAATCCATCCCACTTTATCCAAACAGCATTGATAACCTTAGCCTTACTGTTACCCATGAATTCTCATGCAATCATGTGAGCTAGCCAACATGTACTGAATCACTTTGTGGCACCTATCCATATTGGCAAAAATAGTGGTTATGTAATATTATTTTAATACTTTAGTGTTGCATGCAACATGAAAAGGAGTGTTTAAACATGCCCATTGTAGTCCATAATATGCTACTTAGTTTTATACATTTCTAGAAGACTTTGGGTTCCAGCTAAGTCTATCTTTCTGTTCCATGGCATGACAAATGTGAAGACACCTACTCTAGCTTTTCTGCCTACACTAACAGCTGATGGACCTGTTGACTAAAGTTTCAACTTTAAAAAGCTCTGATGCAAAGATCTTGCAATATCAAGTGTGTGTGTGTGTGTGTGTGTGTGTGTGTGTGTGTGTGTGTGTGTGTGTGTGAAATGTCCTGTGTGGAGGCGGGCTGCTATTGTCATTCTGGCCCAGTATCCAGCTGTAACTCCTATTAAATCTCCCTCAAAATCTCTGGTCCCAGACTCTGCATGACAGATGTGCCCTGGTGGAAGCCTTGGTAGAATCAGCTCAAACATCACAGGCTTTCAAGTGTGGCATGAGTGTGTGTGAGTAAGATTTCAAAAGAAAGTTAAATGATCCATGTGGAGAAACAGGGTCCCTTTGGCAGCCTCAAAGATAAGACGAAGGCAAAAAAGAGTTGAACGGAGGAAATAAATAATTGCCACGAGCAAATATAAATGTGCTATATTTTTGCATGCAGGCCTTATATGTGCACATTTGTTTACATGAGTATTGATGTGTGTGTTTGCGGGAACCAATACGTATGTGTGTGTGAGTGTGTGTCATAGTGTTTTGGATAGATGGAGCCCTGTCACTGTGTCAACATGGAGATAAGAGAAGCCTGACAGCAAGGGAGTGAGGATGACAGCTTTTATATCAATCATACTGACTTATAACTGCCTGTGTGAGAGAGTGTGTTAGTTAAGGGGTTAGGAAAGGGTTTTAAGATGGAATCAAAAAATAAATCAATGTCATACGGTTTGTATGTCAACAGCTGTTCAGTTTGGCATCACCTCTCGCAGTAATCTCTAAACTCCAGTGACCAAACACACACACACGACGGTGTGTGTCACCCATCCCTAAGTGCCTGGACCACTGCCAAATTGATAGAGTTGGCCAAATGTTGTTCTGGCACAAAAGTCTACATCTCTCAGCTTCTCTCTGGTCTAAATCTCTTTCTCTAATTTACTTTCCGCTCCTGTCGGAATTCCTATTCCTTCTCTATCCACTTCTTTTCCTATCCCCCTTCCTGAACTTTTCTTCCCACTTCCTTTTCAATCTTCCCCTCCCTCTCAATATCCACTTTCGTTCCCTGCCTCCAAACATCTTCCAACCCAGGGCTTCAGTAAGCTGATGCAGCGTATCTGTGAGGAATTGGGAATTCAATTGGAGAAAATCAGGCTTTTGAGTTTTCAGCCAGATATTTAATTATGGGAGTGAATTATCGCTGTGTCGCTGAAGGGACACAGCAGAGAGGTAATGTGACTAAGTAAACAATAAATAAGCACTAAATAAACATAACGCCCATGATATGCTTGATTAGAAACATACCCCCTGCTGCTGCCCTGGCTAAACCTCCCCTGCTTACTTACTTTAGCCAAATCAATCCAAATGCTTTCCACTCTATTTATATTTGTGTGTTACTACCTGGAAACATATCAGTAATATTATCTGAATCCCTTGCCCCATAGCGGATCCCAGACTGTAGCTGAGAGAGAGGCCAATAGTGAGATGGAAAGATAGAGAATGGGGGGGGGGGTAGAAATCTAACCTCCACTGTGATTAGGTACTGACCTCATGGGCCTGCTGTCTCCACTGATAAAGAAACAGCAAGACACATACACTCTACTCCATGCCATATCTTGAACCCAGTAAATCATTTGATTCTTATCAGATGTTCATTCATTTCATTTCTCTCTTGTCTCTTTCGCTCCGGGTTTTCCAGCTTTTCATTTTTCTATCTGTTCTTCCAAAAGCTAAGAAAAAAGATAATCTTGTCATGATCTGTTCTCACAATCTATTGTTCATGCAGTCTCATTCATTTTCTCCACTCCACTGGGAATGTTTTTTAAGTTAAAAACTAAGTTCAAACAAGGTAAACTTGCCGTATCTGGATTTTGCTGATGCCATTTTGCTGATTCACCTAAGGCACAGACTGAAATAAATCAATGATGGGGGGCATCGTAAAAACGTGCTGCTTTTGAGGAACAACAAAAGACCCCTATCTGTATTGGCTGATAACTTTCCTTCAATGATATGACAGTGATACTGACACTACATTTCACGAGCCATGCTGCTTTGCTGTTCTTGAAGGCCTTATCTGATCTTGTCAGATATCTGATATACGTCAAACATAGCTCATTTTAAAGTCTGGGTTAAAGCAGGGGATAACATGGTTATCTTCGCTCTTACTGTATATATGTTGCCCCTTCATATTTATGCATGCACGCGCAGACAGACACTCACACACACCTCCATTGAGTCAGTCAGCGAACTCTCCATCATTGCCAGCGGTAGCCCGGTGCTCTTTGGTTGGTTGCAGGTTGATGGATGAGTCTCCCTTGAGCAGCTCTGTTAAAGCGCCTCTCTATCAGGCTGCAGCCGCATGGGCCCTCACATTTGATTAGATCCCAATGGAAGCCAGTTGCTCCCTGTCATCACTCATACAGCATAGGCCTGAGATGCAACAGAGACAGCCAATGGAGCACAGAGCTTGACGCGCTGAGGAAGCCATTTCGGTGCAAAGAGAGGATATTATGTGACTCATGTACAACTCTGTCTCACATGGGTGGCGCTGCACTTGGCTGGAGAGGAGAGATAGCATGAGGGAGAGGGATGCTCATAAAGAGCAGAGTGTTATTTCCATTCTTCA